AAATTCCATGTTTCTACAAAAACTTCCTATCAATCAATGACGCAATAGTACAAAAATTGAGGTTATATCAAATCATTCAAACTTTAACCCCGACTTGACAGCCTTTGCAAATTCCAGGATCAGCACTCAAAACCGCCATTAAACATACGGCGGATCTATTACAACTCTAGAGGGGCCCCCTTGGAACATCCCGAAACACAAGTTACATAACACACTTTGTAGTAATTGTCTCGGTTACAATTGCACACGGGCTCACCTTTCTTTAGATCGTATTATCCACTTGTCCATTTGTCGTTTTAACAGCATCGCCAGCGTTCTGTTTCAACTCACACGGGGCACCATTTTCTACCGTATTTTCCGTTTCAGCACCGAGAGCCATTATCCTAACTTAAACACCGAAAAAGATTACTTTTGCTCCGCACGTGCACGCGACGCAAACCTCACACATCGAAAGTGTCGCCAGTGTTGCCGCAGCGGAAAATGACACACGATACAATGACACAGTTGACACCGACTGACACCTACTGACAGGCGGCGCACGAAGGACCAATCAGAAGCGAGATAGACGTTCCGTGCAGTATTCGGGTGAAATGTAGCAATGGAGTTCGAATTCGAATTTACGCGCGCGCGATTCTGACTATGGTGTGTTTATACGTTGAATTTTTCCGTGAAATTTTAAAGAAAATAAATGATGCTTAAAAAAGTTTTGACTTATTCAAAAATTTTGTCATTCACATTTTATTTTGGAAGTGACATGCGAGGATTTTGTGTTTTATTTTTGACAGGCGGCGAGCGGGAAATTTGAATCGGTAATGGAAAATTTAAGGTAGAGTGGAAATGAAATTAGTTGTAAGTGGCATTATGAGTAAATAATCAATACTTACCCCAGATTTCACAAAAAACACTTTGGTGTTCTCACCAGTAATTTTACACACTAATAACAAACCTTGAAAAAAATTATTTGTTAAATTAATTTTTGTAACTAGTGGTGTATGGCATCGTGCCTTAAGGCAAATTGCTGGAACTTCCTGTGCCATAATGAAATATTCGAGAAATTTCAAACGTTTTCAAATATATATTATTACAAATGCTGTAACTTTCATTATTTTTGCTATCTTGTTATATCTGGGCAAATCAAATGTAAATCATAAATCAAATTTATCTCCAGAACATTAACAATCGTCATTTCATTTCGAATTCAATTTAAAAAAAAAAAAATAGTTGCATAATTCACACAAAATTGAAAAAGTGCTCCGATATAGTCACAGTCTAAACGCATTTGCAAATGATTCTGTGCGGCATTTTCACTTATACTGTGCTTAGCTTGGCGCCATTTTTACATTTTTTAATAGTATTTTTCCACAAAATTTATAAAAACGCTCCGCATAGTCACATTCTAAACGCACTTGCAAAAATTTTTGTACTGGGTTGTCACTTAGACTGTGCTCAGCAGGGGTAGTCTTTCACATTTTATCAAATTTTAACTCGAAATTACATTTTTAAAATTTACATAAAATTGGAAAACTACTCCGGTATAGTCACAGTCTAAACGCATTTGCAAATAATTCTGTGCGACATTTTCACTTATACTGTGCTTACCTTGGTGGCATTTTCACATTTTTCAATAGTTTTTACAAAGTTGTAAAAGTTCTTTATAAACAATCTAAACGCACTTGGGTAAACATTTGTACCAGATTGGCGCTTAGACTGTGCTTAGCTTGGGTAATTTTTTTAATTTTTAATCCTAAATTGAAAAAATAATTTTTGAAAAAAAAAAAATAGAAACAAAATTTTTTTTTTACCAAATGCAATTATTTTGTTGAAACAAGCAGAAAGTTCTTTGAATCATTTAAATCGGACGCTTAGTTCATTCAAAAACTGCCATTTTTGGCACATTTAGCTCTGTATCTTCGAAACCGTTGGGCCTACCTTTGTCAAAAACTAATAAACACTTCTCCCAATCATTACTAATTGAATGTTTTTTGTATCATCAAACCGGATGCTCCGTTCTCTCAAAAACTCGATTTCCATTTTCTGCACTCTTCGCTCCGTATCTCCGTAACGGCTGGACCTGCCTTTGCCAAAAACTAATCGGCACATCTCCCTATTAATAGGAATCGAATGTTTTTTAAACCATTCAAATCGGTTGATCCGTGCGCCAGAAAACGTGGGCGAAAAATTGTGTCCAATTTTTCACATCCATTTTTTCTGAGGTATGCCAAAATGTTCAGAAACCTTGAAAACGTCGAGAAATGCAAAAATTTTCATTTTCGATTTTTGGCCCATTACTTCAACTACCCTACGGGAAATTAATACATAAGTTTAATCAATTAAATTTAAAATTCAGGTCTCTTACTCCAGATTTCACAAAACACACTTTGGTTTTTTCACCAACAATTTTACACACTAATAACATTTGAAATTTGATAACACACTAATACCTTTGAAAAAAAAATTTGGTAAATTAATTTTTATAAAAATGATTCCACGTGTAATAAATTCAAAAACAAACACAAACACTCATTTTCTCTCAACACATTTTTTTTCATAAATTTATTTTATTTTTTTCATAAATTTCTCAAATAAACTTAACGTTATAAATATAACTTTTAATGTGTTTATTTATTTCAAACCATTTTCAATTTCTACTTAATACGATTTTCTGCTAAAAAAATCGTCTTAACCGGAATTTTATTTCAAACAAGTTTCTTAATGAGTATTTCATTGAGTGCTACAAATATTGTGCATGATTCATATTTGTCACGATTAATTTATCTTATCTATATAGTATTCAAAAAAAAAACAAAAAGATAAAATTAGTTATATAATTTCTATTCAAACAATTCATTGATAATTAATTTAATTAAAATATTAATCGAGATTGAAGTAAATAACTAGTGGTGCGTGGCATCGTGCCTAGAGGCAACTTGCTGAAACGGAAACAAAATTTAAAAAAAAACTTTGCAAAACTTAGAATAAATTAGATTTTTGAGAAATTTTGAAATTTCTGAAAAAAATTGACTTTTAGAAAAATTTTATTGTTTTTATTAAGTTTTTTTAAGATTTTGAACATTTTTTTAAAGCAATCGCGCTGCATAGCTGATTTGGAGTCGAAATATCAAAGCGCGCAAGCGCCGCGTCGCAGACGGATGAACATTGGTACAGAACCCTCAGAAATGTACACAAAATTCATACTTATCCTTACAAACTTTATAAAATATCTGATAATACGATGTACATATGTCTAACGTTCATTTTTAACCACCAAATGTCGTTTTTTTTTTACTTTTTTCACTAGATCTCCAAAACCGCTAGACCTGCCTTACCAAAAATTTTACCAGTTCTTCATTTCATCAATACAAATAAAATATTTTTTGGATCATGCAAATCGTACGCTCCGTTCTCTCAAAAACTCGATTTTTATTTTTTGCACTCTTTGCTGAGTATCTTCGAAACGGCTGGACCTGCCTTCGCTGAAAACTAATCAGCACGTCTCCTTATCAATAGAAATCGAATTGTAAATGAATCATTCAAATCGGTTGATTCGTGTTCCCGAAATCGTCTACAAAAAATTGTATCCGCATATACATACATACATACTGTTAACAAAGAATTGCTGAATGATGACACACAATCCGTGTCGAAACGTATATTTTAAATAAATATTTTGTATTTATTTGTTTCTTTTATTTCGACGACTGGCTGAAAATCATATCAAGACATGTCTCAACGTCGAACAAAAAATCTGTGAAGCGTAAAGATATGCAGAAATTTCCATTTTCGATTTTTTTTTTTGCGATTACTATAACTTACTCTATGCGAAATTAATAATTAATAAATTAAATTAAATAATTTATCTATAAAAAATTTCCATTTATTTATTTTTTTGTAATTTTTCCAGTTTGTTAAATGTCCTTTAGGAATGTGTGTCATCATTCAGCCACTGGCAATCTACAATAGTAGATTGTAATGATTGTAATTGTTCTTACATTGGAGTAAGTTCTCAATATATTTGCAAGAGAATAAATCAACATATTTGTAATTCAAAAAATCCAAATCAATATAAGACAATGTTTTCCGAACATATCATTAGTTTAAACCATACTTTTAATACAAAAAATCATATTATTTTACATAAGGAAAAAAATGGCGACCTCAGAAAATTTGCTGAATCTGTAATTATCTTTAGCACATAACTCTTATCATAATAATAATAATAATAATGTCTATTTTTATAAAAATACTTGTTCAAATCTTTGACTCTTGTTTTTCAATTAATGCTAGTTTAATTTTTTGTGAGTGTTTTTCCTAGTGTAGTATTTATCAATTTTTTACTTGTTTAATTTATTTTGATCTATAATATATTTTAAATTTAATCCTTTAAAACTTTATAAAAATTCTTTTAGACATTGTATAAATTTTGTAAAAATTGCTGAATGATGACACAAATACCGTGTCGAAACTTTAAAATCCATACGTTTCGGCTAGCATCTTAGCCATCATTCAGTGGTAATCAAATTAACTATAAAAATTGAAACTAAATAAATTATATGTAAGAAATTTTATAGAAAAACAATAATAATAACAATAAATCCATGGATTAATAATGGTTTCACATGCTATATTAGGATACAAAATTGTAAGTGTTTTATTATTATTATTTTTCTATAAAATGTCTTACATATAATTTATTTAGTTTCAATTTTTATAGTTAATTTGATTACCACTGAATGATGGCTAAGATGCTAGCCGAAACGTATGGATTTTAAATAAATAAACTTTTAAAAAAAATTCTCATACTATTTTTATTGACGTTACGCCCGAATTTTAAACTCAAACATATATATATATATATATATATATATATATATATATATTGTTTTTTATCATTATTTTTATAAAAAAACATAATTAAAATAAGAGAATATTTCATAAATTAAATAATCCAAACAAAAAATTCAATATATTTCAAAACCGAAATAAGCAAAACAGAAAACAAATAATAAAAAAAAAAATATACAACAAAAAATATATTTATAAAATAAACATTGCATCCAGTGATTTTCTTTATAAAACCACTTTTATCTAAATCTTTGGAAGACGTTTAAGTTTACACTTATGTAGTAAATATAAAGAAACGGCTCGGCCGATCGTGTTTTAAAATTAATGCACACGAGTCCTTAGAAATAGAGTCAAACGATTCAGAATGACTAGAACCACAAAACAAAAATAATTCATTATAGTAATACTGTCAACTAAGGTAAAGTTTTTTTTAGTAATTTATATATAATCTAGAAGTGCTTTGTCTTTATTTCTGCAATTAAATCTAAAACTGCTTGAAAACAGTGCTTGTACCCCTTAGATGTTAAATGTAAATAATCATACATCATCTCTCGCGAGATGAGTCCTTTATTATCCACAATATTTTTATGAATAGCAACGACATGTATACG